CTCTCTCTCTCTCTCTCTCTCTCTCTCTCTCTCTCTCTCTCTCTCTCTCTATGCTTTTAGGCACAGTGTAGTTACCGTAGTTGATATTGATGTGATAGTAAACCGACCAGGCTCTCCGACTGTTACACAACGTAGTGTTAAGCGAGAAGGAAACTTGTGGCTACAATGTGATAGATACATCCTGTACCCTTACCTGGAATCTTCGATAATTTTTGAACTTATTCTGTGAACACAATTAATTTCCAATGTGCAATATTCAGCAATGTCATCGTCTGTCATTTTGTACTTTAAAATAGTTTCCTTTTATCAACATGAAATAAATAAAACATCCGACAAATGTAAAATAGTCGCAATGTAAAATGATTTCAAACAAAATCGCGTTAAAAATACGTTTAGAGTGTTTCATAAATATTTTTACTAATGCATGCATATAATTGAAAAAGAACATAGCTACACATTAATAGTGTAAGCGTGCTGATACGTCTACATCACTTAATAAACACAAGAACACAAGAGAAGACAGTGCCACGAAAGATAGATTTATTACAAGAAAATCCTGTAAAATAGGTTAACACGATAGTACAGAAGGTGCCAAGACAAGCAAGCTAGTGCGAGTGATTATTCTTACAACAGATGTGAAGAACTTCCACGTTAAGCAATATAAGAACTAATCGTCGAGAAGAGATAGATACAAGATTAGAAAGTAGCCAAGTAAATCAAGACAGAGTAAGCAAAGCCCTAAAGCCAACCGCTTATTAAGAAGAACTTACGTACAGACGACTTCAACGAACGATGCACGAACACGCAGGCATATACAGGACTAAACTCTAGACGTTTCGCGTTCCTTTATATAAGCTCTTAATTTAGCTATTCGAATCGGAGTCCGGTCAACTCGGTTCATCTGCCAACTCGGTTAGCCGGCGAACCGAGCTCACCGATCTCGAGATCGGTGAGCTCGGGTCACGAACCGAGCTCACCGATCTCGAGATTGGTGAGCTCGGTTCGCCGGCTAACTCGTGAGATGTTTCACACGCGCCAACTCTAATATCTCGCGAACCATTTGAGTTACATTTCTAAAATTCTAGATACATATAAACACATGTCTTAGCTATGATTTCTGTGATTTTTGAGTTTATTGAAGCACGAATAGTATAATTAATTACCAGAAATATACGTACGCGCGGTATCGTCATATAGGCTAATATACGCGCGGTATCGTCAGAGGCTAATATCTCGCGAACGATTTGAGTTACATTTCTAAAATTCTAGATACATATAAACACATGTCTTAGCTATGATTTCTGTGATTTTTGAGTTTATTGAAGCACGAATAATTTAATTAATTACCAGAAATATACGTACGCGCGGTATCGATCATCGCGCGTCAGGTGCACTTCGCACCTGGTTACCACGCCAGCCGGCGTCGTGTGAAATACTGGTTGAACAACTGACTTGTAGCCAGTTCCTGGATATGCTAATTGATTTGAAACGAGATCAGAGTGCGCGAACGCAGACACCTGCTGTTGTAATTTGTGTGATTACTTTTTCCAGTTCGGTGTGATACGTCGGGAGATGCCCGACTGTATGTAGGCACGTGATCGTAGGTTAGATATTGTTATTCTTCTTGCGTTGTGTTATTAACTGTTCTGCTTGTTTCGTGTTTGCGGTGAAGCTTGAAGGAGATGTCAGGTAATGCTCTGTGTTTGATGCAGCGTCGTGGCGGAGGTAACATCAATGATCAAACACAACTCGATGAATGAAGTTTTCCACGCATAGTAATTTTATTGCCAGGCACAGTACAATCGTGGGCAAGAGTCCAGATAAGGGTGTTACCAATACATATATTTCTTCCCGTCCGTCCGTCCGTCAGTCTCTCAGTCCGTCAGTCATTTCTTTCAACCTCGTCGATATGCGTGCGTACACAGCGAGAGAACGACACAACCAACGACCAACCCTTTCCTCTTCCGAGGTGTGTCGTATATGTAGAACTGCTGGGTGACGTCATCTTATTTCCTGCATGTGCAAGACCATTCAGTCTGCACGTGCTTAGGCTGTCACCAAGGTGTCGGGTTAACCGTATAATATTGAAATGGAATTTTACCAATCACGTTCTACTCGCGTGTAGATTTCACATGCGTACTTCCTGTATTCTAAGAGCTTCCACCCCGGTGTTCTTCCCAACAAACATCCGAAGCGTTATCCGGGGTGTTGGCTCATTATACCTTACTAATGATAGTTTTCTGTAATTCTGTAATTACCTACTCTACATATCGACGCAGCTCTGTTACACCACTCCCACGGCAAATTACTTTCGTGCCTTGATGGCACAAAGTGTAGTTCTAAAACACAGCAAACATATAAACATACAACATTTAACATGAACGATTAACGAACATTTCACCATAACTAAGTAACGCACATCAAACAATTTTTTTTTCGTATGACATACTCGCCTAACATGAACCGACTGCCTGTAACAGATATAAAAAAACAATCGATCCCTATTAGGGTGTATAAAACTCCTTTTAGTCGCCTCGTACGACTTGCAGGAAATGCAGTAGACGTATTCTGATCGCCGGGTCTACACAGCAATTGTGTCGAAATGTCAGTGACCGTTCAAAGAAAACGCGCAGACATCCAACTCATTTATCTATTATCTCATTTATCTATTATGTCATTCATCTATTATCTCAGTTATCTATCTATCGCTAGGGATCATCTATCATGTATCGGGAAACGGTAGCGGAGCGTCACAAAACATCAACATTCGAATCCACCCATACACGGAAATCACTCTTTAATTGTTAGCCAATCGGCTGGCCGAGAGAGAACCTAGTAGATACTACCCGTTTTTAGAGCAGAACTCTAAATAAACAGCTTGGTTATGTCGGTAATTAATAAGTCTACGCAGTAGCGCAGATAGTGTGAATCCGCTGCAGGCCGCACTGTGTTTCACACATCTCGATCAGCGTGTCCAATTTTAGCCAGAGAATGGTAGCACGTACCGGAACCCATCTCTAAGGAAGACAGCGCGACCTCGAGGCTCCGCTCAGCGGCACGAATCGTGTGAAGAAGTCGTGTACGCTCTATTCTTGCTACCACATGCATAAACAATAAAAACATTAGCTGTTGTGTTTCATGCACAAAGACCCCGGTCGTGGAAGACTCGTGTTTCACACAGCTCCATTAAACCTGTTTTTGCTGCACAGGCTAGTTATTACAAGAATAATCTGCTGGCAATGTAATTTTAAATAGGAGTTTGAATTCTTAAAACTTATGTAAACTACCTGTTTACATTAGATTTCGCATAGGCTCTAACTATATTTGCTAATATGAAGAAATCAACTGTATGGTGTTGCTTTGTTGGTAGAATGTCATTAATTTATTAGTTTATACTGCTTGCTGCATCCATGACTAATGACTATATCAAGATGAGACGGGATACTAGAGAAGCGTTGCCAAAAGCTGTTGATCCGAAGCGCTGAGCGCAGATCTTGCGCGCAGTTCCGCGGGAAGGCGCACGCGACCGCGGGAATGTCGTACGACAGTATGCAGCGCTGGCAGCTATGGATCCGTGCGCCGAGTGCGTAGGCGGCGCACGGATCCATAGCTGC